TTTTTTTTTTTTTTTTTTTTTTTTTCCATCATTTGATTAATTTGATATTTTTTAGCATGACGGTGAAACAGAAACGTGGCGTCAGTCAAATGACTTCTTTCACCACAATGACTCCACCCCATGGGGGTTTGTTTTCATCGTCAAATCTCGCCACTCCTCTACGGATGAAGAGAAGGTCCCGCGATAATCCACCGCGAGAACTGGAAGGGCTCATTGTTACATTTTCCTGCCTTCCTCTCCTTCCTGTCTCCGCTCTGGCCCCACTCACACCGCTGTAGAGCCTATTTACTGCACTTACACCCAATGATGAAAACACATTATTTAACATTTTTGTACAGAACAAAGTATGTTTAATTTGGAGATATGGGCTTAATAAAAAAAAAAATAAGTACGGTATGTTTAAGGATATTTTTAAAAGACTTGTTTATTTTCAAATAAGTCTCATTAGAACACATATTCTAACTTACTGAGTATGATTGTAGGCCATGTTCTACTATTACAGTGAACCTTGTTTTTTTCTGCCAACTTTCACTCATTTTCCTCCAGTTATTGAATCTACTGTGTAAATGACATGTAGTTAGTCGCTATTTTACCCATCTGTAGAAAATAAATGGCAGACTGTTTTACTAATTCATACAATACAATGTTGCCTATAGATAATAATCTGAACAAACTTTGAAAAATATAGCTGTATGTAATTTGCCATCTATATTAAAGCACTTCCATATATTTCTCACAGCTGCTGTGTGTATGCCATACTGAAAGTTGTTTTTACATCTTGATGGTGCTGGGGGTGTTTTTATGCTTGTTATGATTGTGATTTTTTTATTTTATTTTTTTTTTGTCCCATAGGAGTAGGCCTTGGGTTTCTGCTGAGGTTTACAGTTGGCCCAACTAATACTTTGAAAGGGTGGATCCAAATTCCAGGGAATATACTTCTCAATGTGCTTAAGATGTTTTCTCTCCCCCTCATTGTGACAAGCGTGCTTGCAGGCAAGCTAAATATAAATCTAAATTCTTAATGTATTAACTTATTGTTATAGAGATAGATATGAAAGGTGTTCTCTCACTTTTTTGTGGATATTCTGTATGAATATTGCTAAAAACACTTTTTTATATATGTGTCTAGATCTCAATGAGTCTAATTCACAAGAATTTATTTCTTGTCACCTAAAGGTGTTAGAAGATGAAGATCAGTTCAGACATTTAGACTATTGTTAGGCCACATATGAACTTGGATGTTATCCTGTTTCTTGCTCAGGAATCAGATGAAATTCTGGTTCTGCTTTCTTTTCTCAGGTGTAACTGGATTACACACCAAAATGTCCAGGAAAGCAGGCTTGATCACAGGAGCCTTCGTCTGTGGATCTACCTTGTATGCCTCAGCTTATGGTAACTTTATAAAGTGCAGTGTACTTTAACGTAGATTTATAGAGTATCATAGTGTCTATTGTGTTATCAAGTGAGAATGCATTCATCAAAATGCTGCTGTTCATACATTTTTCACTCTACAGAAATAATTTATGCATCAAAATGTAGCTAGGGGTGTCTGCTTTGAGCAAATATTAGAGTAATTGCTGTAGATCTTGCAGTTTTCTCTCAAGTTTTCCCGGAGCACAGGCGTTCGGAGCACAGGTCTCCGGGAACATTTTCTTCCTTGTGTTTCCCTCTCCTGCTTTGCTTAGATCTGTTTGTGTTCAGCTTTCTTCTGGTCTTTTTGTCTTCAGCTCTCGTCTGACCTGTCTCTCTCTTCAACTTCCTTCATTTCTGTCTCTGTATTTAGTTTTTTTTTTTAACTCTCTCTGGCATCTACTGCAGTGTTCATCCTGCAGGTATGCATTCTCACAGCTGTTTTGCAAGGAACAGCAATTTTTCTAGTTGCTTTTGACATCCTGCCTGAGATTTTGTGTTGCAGGATTGTGTCTGGTGATGTTAATAAGGCCTGGTGTGGGATCAGAGTTTGGAGATGATGAAGAGGATGTTATTGTTCCCTTCTCTATGAATTTGATCTTCATGGATATATTGAGGTGAGAGGACAAATGTTTAATTCAATTCAGTTCAAGTTTAATTGTATATAGCAAATTTCAGCAACAATGCAGATAAAGGTGTTTTACATCATAAAAACACAAAATCCAAAATCATAGAACACACAGGCAACAATTGAAACATTACATTTTGTCAAGTGCCACCGTTACACATCATAATGTTGGTGAATGTTACACATAACTGTGGTGGCGCATGAACAACGCAAGGCTCGGGTCTCTCAAGAATTAGGGATTTTCTATTTACTTTTGACTGGACTATGCATCCAGAATTGCTCGCCATTGCTGTTCTACAGCAGACAGGAGTTTCTGGACATTTGGACTCAAAACTCCAACAGTTTTATCTCCAACTAATCACAGAGATCTCCAGAATGCCAGGGGCTGCTCACACTTCCTGGCCAGTGCACGCAGATGGCACCAAGAGCGCAAACAAAGGCAGGGTACACGTGGAGGGCTACGAGCTAAGCTAAAGCTTATGCCACACCGGCTGGCCTTACCCACCATTTTCCTCGTCAATGTCCATTCTCTGGCAAACAAAATGGATGAAATATGGCTCCCCAACACCAATAACGGATTATGAACTCAAATGTCATAATTTTCACTGAAACATGGCTAAACAATAGCTTCCCTGATAATGCTAATGAGTTAGCAGGATGCCATACACACTGAACTGACAAAATAGCAGAGATCTCCGGCAAGAACAGCGGAGGAGGTTTGTGCATTTATATAAAAAAAAGCTTGGTGCACAGACAAGAGACAATGCTCATCCAATGTGGAGTTTATAATGGTCAAATGCAGACCTTATTATCTCCCTAGAGAACTCACTTGCATCATACTCACGGCAGCATATATCCCCCCGGATGCTAATGACAAGCTGGCTGTGATAAAACTTCATGCAGCCATTAGCAAATACCAGACCAAAAACCCTGAGGCTGCTTTGATTGTTGCTGGTGATTTCAACCACTCCAACTTGAAGATAGTCCTCCCCAAATTCCACCAATAAGTCACTTGCAACATTAGAGGGGACAAGGCTCTGGACCATGTTTACTCCCATTTGGCTGGAGCACATAAAGCAACAGCCCTCCCCCACGTTGGACAATTGGACCATCTCTCCCTTTTCCTCACACCACGATATTCGCCACTCTTTCAATGTGTGAAACCCACTGTGGAGCAGTACGCCTCATTTGTACTGGACTATATCTCCGTCACCACTGACAGCATTACCACCCAGAAACAGATCACCACGAACCCAATCTATTTCATATAGCCTTAAAGGGCTGTGTCTATACTCATAGAATCTGGGGTTACAATACGTAACCAACGTATGGAAAATCCAATATCCAACTCGAAACTAACTTCACTGCAGTCAGTAACACAATAAAACCACCGAGATAAAGTTTGTTTTGGTCTGTGGCCTGCAAAGATGGCACCGAGCGACTGCACCTAAACGCCCCACAACGTTTTTCCAAAGCTCTATTGACCAATAGCAGACATAGAAGGCAGCTCTCCTCATTAACATAACGATGCAGCAGAAATACAGCAAACGGAAATACAGTGAGCAGAAAAGGGAGAAGCAAATAAAAACAAAGCAAAATATCTATTTTTCTTGGCAAAAACGCATGTTTAGGGGAAATAAAAAAGAAAATATATACATTACTTGATGGAAACTCATGTGTAAGGAAAAAGAAAAACTAAGCATATACTTATGCTTTTATTTCTTATTATGTCGGTTTTGGTCCTCCATAGATTGTACCTTAAAAAATAACAGCTAAATGATCAGACAGGGCAATGGTTTTACAGTTACAGTCATTGGAAATATTCACACCCTGACTGATAAACAGGTCCAGTGTGTATCCTTGATTGAGTGTTGCTTGTGTAAAATGTTGAGTCAGACCAAAATTATCAAGAATATCTTCTGGCTTGTAAACATGGATGTTGAAATCTCCCAAAATTATTAAACATAAACATAATCAATGATACATATAAGAGATTAAAGCCAATGAAGAAGTTTAGTTTTCTACATATCACTAACTCTTTGTATAGAGTCTATGGACTTTTACCTCAATTACCAGATATTCCAAAGAGGTAAAATTACCTAAAAAGATTTCATTAGAATTTATGAAATTCTGAAATTCTTAACCTGTCATTCACGAGAGGACCCAAATTTGGGTCCTCTCGTGACAGGGGTGTCAAACTCCAGTCCTCAAGGGCCGCCGTCCTGCAACTTTTAGATGTGCCTCTGCTGCACCACACCTGAAAAGAATAATTAGGTCATTAGCAAGGCTCAGGAGAACCGATCTACACAGGGAGGAGGTAATTAAGCCATTTCATTCCACTGTTTTTTACCTGTGGCACATCTAAACACTGCAGGACAGCGGCCCTTGAGGACTGGAGTTTGACACCCCTGTACATTGTGAATGACAACCTGTGAATGACAGGTTAAATATAAAGGCCACGACTCTTCTTTTTTACGTTTTCTATTCTCACCTAAAAAATTGTAATTAGGAGGCGCTGATTCGATTAGTAGAGGTGATTCAGCATTGTCATCCAACCATGTTTCTGTCAGGAACATCAACATCAATGAGTGAAGTCATTTACTAATAGTCCTTTTTCTGATCTTATATTTAGCAGAGCCGGCTGAAGTGGCAGATAGTTCCTGAGACTGAGGTTGCTTTAGACAGGGGATGAGTCTAATGTTTAATTTCAGACCACTGCATTTTGTATTTCTGTTTTTTGTCAATTTTCTTCTAGTGATCCGTTTTAAACAATATTCCTGCTTTTCAGCATATTCAGTTTACTGCATAGAGAAATAAAAATAGAGGTTATCTTCATCAGCAACTATGATTTAAAACTGTCTTGGTAGATGTGAAATGATAATATTAAACTCTGGTGAAAATAATATCGTCACGGTTTGTGTCTTTCACATTTACAAGCTCAGTTTTTTTCTGACTCTCTTTTTACTCCCATAGGAACATGTTTCCAGAGAGCTTCATTCAGGCTTTCTTCGAGCGGGTATGTTTTTATTCAGAACCACAGCTCAGTGTGCAACTTCCTATGTTGGGTCTGGAAGGTTACAAATAGTTTTTTTTTTTTTTTTTTTTTTTCTCAGTACAAGACTGAGGTTGTTTATCTTTCAAAAGATCAAATTGTAATCCCAATGGTGAGTATTTTCTTCTTATCGTTCTTATTCTAGAGCACCTTCCTAAAGCATTGATAGCCCTGGAGCTTTTTCACGTTTTGTCACTTTACAACCCCAAACTTCAAAGTATTTTGTTTAGGTTTTAAGTAGTCAGCCAACACTAAAAAGAGTACTTGACTGTGAAGAGGAAGAAAAATCTGGATGGCTTTAATTTAAAACATGAAAGGAGAGGTGGTGTTTGTTTTAAGCTCACCTCAGGGGCAGTTGTGCCTTTCTGTAGCAGTCATTGAGCAGGAGGGGGGGCACATCACAGGGGAACACAGAGACAAGCAACCATTCAAAACACTTGTACTATTGGTTTAGACAACACCAGATAACACAACAATAGCATTTCTTTGGACAGAGGGTAGAATAATTTCCACATCTTGCCATAAATGTTCTGTTCTATTTAGGCTCGGATTTGACCATAATAATCGAACAGATGGTTGTGCTTTCACCTAAAGCCATCCATTGTCTTCTGGTTGTATATTTAGAGTGACTGTTTTTCTCCAAGGGAATCTTCTCAACTCTTCTGGCCCCCTAAAAACAAGTTTTGATCTTAGATTGTTTGGGATTTAGTGTCATCCATCTTCCTATTAAGACTGTCTGTTGCTTCCCTGCAATAGAAAGGCAAGTGAAGTGTGTATAACTGAATGTGTAGGACTATTGGATGGGTTACATAGCTAAATACACAAATATTTTTTTTTCTCTTTATATGCATAATGTTTTTCTAATCCTTGAATTTATTCTATACATTTCACAGTTATCTTATACTTTGGATTTGTCTTTTACAAAATAAAGGCAAATAAAATACATCAAAGTTAATGACTTTAATGTGACTTACTGTGGAAAAGTGATATGTATTGTCCAATATGGTGCTGTACTACTACAGTACTTTTCTTGGAGAGTTAGAGGCAGCATATTTGTGTTTCTAGCCGCAGAATGACAGTGAGATGCTACTGGTAGGCAGCTATATTCCTGAAGCCAACATTATTGGACTGATCATCTGGTCTTTCACCATCGGCATCTTGTTAATCAGGGTGGGAGACAATGCAAAAAGCACTCTGAAGCTCATTCAAATCATCAACGAGTCAGTAAAAATCATAGTCGTCTGGTTCCTGTGGTAAGATAACATTTCAGTATACAATTTCATGCTTTTACCAAATTATATATGTTTAATACACAAAATGTTCTAATCAGTTCAGGTCAGACATAAGAGTAAATTACAATATCAAAGAAATGTGATTTCTGTTTGTGATAAAAATGAATCTGTGGTGAAGTAAATTTAACATAGCTGAAACTGTGAAATCAACAATAAAAGAAAATCAAGTTTGTATCTTTACACAAATATATACAGTATTGAGGTCAAAAATATTTGTTCAAAATTGTTAGTTGTCTGTGGTTCTTTTATATAGGTTCGAGAAAAAGTACCTATCAAAAATTGCATTTTTTTTTTCAGAAAATAAATTAAGTACTAAGAGCCTATCTTTTTAAGTTCATTCACAAAACAAAAAGCAATCTTGTTATCTTTACTGTGCTTCTCTCTGTATCTCAAGACACCAACCTAAGCTACCTAAGAGTTCCCAAGCTGTGATTTGAAGTACACTGACAAGTACACACTGCTGTGTCTACTTAAAAGTATGAAGTTAAATTAAGTTAAAGCTTAATGTTCAGGACGTCCCCAGACCTTACTCCATTCCTGCTGAAGCAAACCTGCAACTGATTTCTGTGTTGAAAAATAAAATATGCACTATGGTGTGTTTTTAATGTTTAAAGGTTAACAAAAAGCAATGCTGTTGTTGGAGATGTAGGCAGAAAAAATAGATTTGATGAGGTCAACACTGACAGTAGCAAAAAAAAAAAAAAAACAAAAAAAAAAAACCAACTGTAACAAAAAGTGAGGCTACATTGGTTAAAAATTTTATTTGGGAAAACTCCTTGGGTGAAAAAAGTGAAGACAAAATGTTAACGTGGAAAATACCTGGACAGTTTTTGAACCTTTGAAAATAATAGATCTAACAGAATTTGTATGAAATCCATGAATGAACTGTTTGTGTATTATATTGTTGTAATACTTGTAATTGATTTTCTGCCCCGAATGTAATTTTGCAAAGAACTAATAAAATCTTAGAAAAATAAAAACTTGAACAAACTATCACTTCTTTCCATATTTAAGTTTGAACAGAGAAACAAATAAAAATCAAGTCTTAAGTTTTAAAAACATGATTCTTTTTTTTTTTTTTGAGGCAATAAGTTTGCACAATTTTTTAAGTTAGGTGAACTAATTAGATTTTACCGTGTATTTGCATATTTCATTTACATTAACCATGTTGAGTGCATTATACAAAGTTCTGCTTGAACTGATTTACAAAGTTAAATTTACCTTGATTTTATGTTTCAAAGAAATATGTAAGTAATTAAAACAAAGAACAGTCTTGCTTGATCAACATAAATAAATTGTGGAAATAGTTGCTTTAATCTTTCTAAGTAGACAGAAAAGAATGTTTATCATCCTTGTAGGATACCTTGTTTGACAAACAGTTAATCAAAATCAATTTGGAAGACCCATTTATTTAACCTTTTTTCTTGACCGTTTTTTTGATTCAGGTATTTGCCAATTGGAGTATTTTTCCTGATCACAGACAGTGTGTTGGTTGTGGAGGACTGGGGAGATGCCTTTAAACTCGTGAAGTTTGCAGGAGTGGTTTGTATGGCGTACGTCCACTTTGTCTGTTTCAACTTTGTTGCCAAACTGAGATGACTGCTCGTGAGATGGCAGCACTGAACTCTACACAAGAAGGAAAGAAAACTGTTTTCAATGTATTTACAGAAGCGTAGCATTGATTTTGCTGAGATTTTTCTACTTTATGTTTGGTGGATGAAGACACTGCAAAGACCAGTTCTTTTGAATACAATTATTTTCAGCTAATTTACTCCGATACCCCCCAAAAATCCTGTCCAGTTCAAGCAGTTCCCTTTCAGATGTTGTGTATGGCCTGAGAGGTTTGTTAGAGAACTTTAGTGAACAAAAGGCATGATGAACACCAAGAGACTCAGCAGACAGGTCAGGGAGAAAGTTCAGGAGTCAGAGTTAGTTTCTAAAACAATATCCGAAGATAAGGAAGAGGAGGAGGGTTAAGGGCTCTGCATAGTTGAGCTGACCTACCAAAATCAGTTCTCGTTGTGCCGCTGCTGACAAGATCTGGGCTGGAGGTGAGCGGCTGTGAATAGAAGTTACTGCAGAACCTCAACTGATAAAGGCAGATTCAGTCCATCGGAGCATTTGGAGCTCACAAAATATCACATGACCCTTAGCGAAAATAATATACCTATAATTTGGACCATAACATAAAGTCAATCATGCCACAATTAAATAAATCAAGATGTCCCAAAATAAGAGGCTGTCCGGCATATGGGTGTACCAGGGGATTTCTTGGTGGACCTCTCCATTAGTGGGCTGGTGGACTGTCCATGCAGTGGTGGTTTATTATATGGGTGACATGTGCAACTGCCCAGGGCAGCATCTCGTGGGGGTGGACATGAGCACACCAGGTTAATTGGCCGAGCTTAAAATAAATCACTGATTGTGCCTTGAGGACAAAGGTCCACACTGACCTGCATATTTTAGATGTTCCCCTGCTTCAACACACCTCATTCAGATGATTGCAATTCAGCAAAACTATTGAAATCATGTGTGCTGAAGCAGGGGAACATCTAAAACATGCAGGTCAGTGGCCTTGAGGACCAGGGTTGGGAAACACTGGTCTAAACCAATATCCTTTTGATAATATGTGGCAGAAAGCTTTGTGTTAACACTCTCCATCTAATCTGAGCTTATAGTATTTTGCAGAGAACAATGTGACAAATGCGTCTATGAAAGAGCAAAGCTGGTGGAAACATGACCCAACAGGCTACAGATGTAGCAACAGGTTGATCTACAAAGTATGGACTCATTGAGGCTGAATAGTGATGCACAAACATCTTCGTGGATGTTACTGTGCAACAATGAATCATTTTCCTTGCACTTTGCAATGACGCACAGCTATGTATTAGCATATCTAGTCCCCCCAAACACATGACAACCAATTTTGTCATGTGGTTTACCATGTCAAAATTCATAAGTGTCAAAGTTGAAGGCCAGTGAATAGCTCTTTGTGTCTTGATAACACAGCGCATGACTCTAATGAAAGTTTGTTGTCTCTTTCAGACATGGATGCTACGCCTTTATTATTCTGCCCACGTTTTTTTTTTTGTTAGTCAGACGGAACCCCATTCACATCTACAGGAAGATCTCCAAGGCTATGATGACTGCATTTATCATCTCATCCAGGTGAGATGTTCTGTTTGTTTGTTGTCAAAGAGTGACACTTTTCTAGTTTCCACATATGAACGGTGCACCAATAAAGGATGTGCTTTCTGCCAAAGCACCGCCACTCTACCTATTGCCCTTCAATGTTGTGAAGAGAACGTGAAGGTCAATAAGAAACTCCTCCGCCTCATATTGCCCATTACCGTCGGCATCAATATGAACGGGACAACACTGTACGAAGTGATCGCTTCCATCTTTATTACTCAGATAAATGACATCAAGCTGGACATCAGCCAGATAATCGCCATTTGGTAAGCTGCTTCCTTGAAGTGTCTGGAATTGAGAAAAGGTGCATGCTGGGATTGTTAAGAGAAAAGGCTTGACACAATTGCGTGTTTCAGTTGATGTAGTCTGTGTTTGGTTTGCAGCTTGTGTAGTGCCTTTGTCACCTTTGGAACTGCAGGGGTCCCAGCAAAAGGAGCTGTGACCACTATCATGGTTCTGACATCTGTGGGACTCCCTGCAAAGGATGCTGTCCATCTGGTGGTGTTTGAATGGCTTCTGTAAGTTCAACTTGATGCTCAACAGCCTGCCACTTGTGTTTAAGAAGTACTTTAACCATCAAACCGTGTCGTCACCCTGGATGGAGTTATGCTGGTCTGCTATCAAAAAGCTTGCAGTTATTTTTGACCAGGACATGATTTTTAATTTGCATTATAAACAAATGTCTAGGATAGCCTACTTGTGGGGAGATCCTGGGGAGCAATGATTGATAAAACTACACTTTGTGACTGATGTTACTAGGAATTGTCTGAACTGGAGAAGAGCTCACTGTTGTAGAGTGGGGAAGAGAAAACCTTCAAGAAAACATAGTTGAATACCAGCAAGTTTGTTCTCCTCTTATGTCCCCTTCAGAGACCACTTCACTACCATGGTGAATATTCTCACAAACATGATGGGTGTGATTGTCATCCATTTTTTATGGGAAGCCGACATGCTAGCCTTGGAAGAAAGACAAAGGTAATTGAAATAATTAAAATGATGTGTTCTTTCGCAAAGACACAATGTTGCCAGAAGTATTTGAATCCCAATCGAAATCATTGAATTCAGGTGTTCCACCTGAATTCCACCTGTAGCTACAGGTGGATTTCATCCACCTGTAGCTACAGGTGTATGAAATCCAGCATTGAGACTGAACAAATGGGGTGTTCTGAGAAAGAACAGTGAATACGAGTGTCTTCCCAAGATAGGATGCTCCCATCTCAGCACCACACATTTCCTGGAAATGGTTCAGGCGTGTTGTCTGGCGTTTCAAGTCCTGCCTCAAAATTATGATAAAAAGGTGCAGCAAAGACTTTCCTCCCTAGACTCTGGAAGACAATATGACTCTCCGCAGAGCTTCTTCTGGCCCTTTACCTCTGATGTGCAGAGAATTTCTTCACAAATGCTAACTAGCAGGTTGCAAAGAAGAAGGTTCTCCAAAAGGTTACTATAAAGGTCATCAAATTATTAACTGCGCTATCCCCACCCTCCATGAACTCTGCAATTCCTACCTTTTGACCTTTACACTTTTTTTTATATCTTCAAACCCAAAAAAGCACAAATTAAAATTTTGATAACGTTTTTATTAATATCTTTAGAATTATGTATGAGTTGGCTATCTTGGATAGAAGTGCCGAGTTTGACCATATTTTGGCCGTTTACAGCCTCCGCATTTGATCAAGCTCCTCCTAGAGATTTCAATCGATCAGTTTCAAACTTGATCATTTTGTTCATAAGGCATGGCCATGCATGCTTAAGGGACGTGGTCAGGCCTCAGAGTTTGAAATCTTTCACCATTAAACACAAAACTGTAATATCTCTTACACAAAAACTCTCCAAGACACCAAACCTTCAGTGATTGATCCACATCTGGGTCTCTACAACACTCAATTGTCAAATCAATCTTGTCAGGACTAAAAAAAATATCTTGGACTCTTGGTTGAAACCCAGCAGGAGGTCGGGTATTTTGCGTCATTTTTTTCTTTTTTAAGACACATTAAGTGTGTTTAAAATGACAAATTTAAGTCAGTCTTACACAAATCACTTAGTTTACTTTAAAAAAAAAAGAAGGAAACTAATAAATTATCTCTTTTTTACCAGTTTTTTTTTTTTGGCTCAGGCAGCCTTTATTTGAGAGCAGTTAGACAGGAAAGTAGGTAATAACAGAGAGGAAAGATGGAATCATGGCCCACAGGGGTTGTTTGCCCAGGGCACCAAACAAGCTATGATGTGTCTCATAACATACTGTCACAACACAGTGAGTTTCATAAATGTAAAAAACAAAATTTTTATAAAAGTTTAATACTGCAACTTTAATGGTTTGTGTATTATTCACTCTTAAACCAACATAACAATGATCTAAATGACTCAGAATGTTTGGAGTATTTTTCTCTGAAAGGTTTCATAAAATATTCGGACAGATTCTGGTGAAAACAAATCTGGAATGTAGATTGTTATAAGTCATTTCCACTAAGTGGTAAGATATGGAGTACTTTAGTCCAGAGGTTCCCAAACTGTGGGGCGCGCCCCCTACGGGGGGCGCCGTGTCATTGCAGGGGGGGCGCGGGAAGCCGTCTGGATGAAAAAAACAAAACATGAACACTGTATGCGCTGGATTTTTACCTTAGAATGGCCAACTCTCTGTTATTCCTATGTCAATTTGAGAGGCTTCCACACTTCCCATATTTGTGTCCTCTGTCACTTTTATTAACAGTTAAAACTGTTTAATCCGTTGTTAACATGTTGTAACCTGTTTTTCTAAGCCGCCTTTAAACGCAACATGAGCGCTACGACGCTCGCGCTGGGTTTACAGCTGTGAAGGAGACCTGCTGCTGCTGGGCGGAGCTATGTAGGTTTGTGTTAGAATCACGGCAGCAAGCCAGCAAAACGCAAATAACTTTTCACAGTTTTTCCCTCCAAACTAACAGACTGAGTTGAGTAAAGCTGTTAGATGCAGGTAATGTTAGCTAAAAGATGACTAGCTAATGTCAATACAGCACATTAAGCTTAACAAGTAGCTTGTAGGCTACCGATGTTGGTGTCTATTTTCAGCTACATACATTCATTTTGCCCCCCAAAAAGTCGATGCACACCCCCGTCCCTTCCCGTCACACGCGTCGTTTCAACCAGACAGCCATTTGTAATCCATAGGGGGGGCGCAGAAAATGTTTGGAAACCACTGGGGGGGGCGCAGAAGAAAAAGTTTGGGAACCACTGTTTTAGTCACAGTTGATCTGCATTATCATTGATTGTGTTTTCCATTTTCCTTGTTAGGACTGATAAGGTTCGTTCCAACAATGACCTCGAGCTGGACTTAACCTGTTTGGAGCCTGATGACGACCTCATCCCATCCGCCTCCTCCCCATCAGGATCCATTTCACCTAAGTGAGGGGATCGTCTCAGAACCATATTAACACCAACAAGCTGAAATCTCAGGACAGGGACGTCACCATCCTGGGGTGTCTGAGCTGATCATTTCCCTGTTTTCTTATAGTTGTTGCTAGTTGGATGGTGTCATATCACTTTACTCATCTGTATTTATTTTCCATTTCACTTTGGTTTTTGCCACTTTTAAATTATATATTTATATGTTCCTAATCTATTTATTTGAAAATTGTTAATAATTATAAACATTGTTATGTGTTTGAAGATAATTCATCTTCAGTATTCTAGATTTTATTGTTATTTATCATTTTTGCATGTTTACAATGCATGGACTTTACCATTTTTATGAATTTTAGCTTTCTCTTTATATAATAGAAATATTTCTCCAGTGTTTCCTCTCTAATCAATACGAGCTGCCACAGTTCCTTATCTTCTACAATTGATTTCCTCCCACTAATAAATCACATTTGTTTATTAACAATACTTACCTGTTTTATCTGTTTGTGGATCATTTCATTGTGTGTCTAGTGGTTAAATGCCTGTCTTTCTGTTTTTAACCTCTGTAACTTTGTATTAGACTTGAATGTATGACAAGTGTTCTATACACAACATTTGACTGATTGATTGATACAATATTTTGTAAACAAATAGCCCTTTACGTTGCATGAAAAGTTTTACTGCTTTCAAATGGGAATTGTCACATCCTCTGAACGCAGGTTGTGCTAGCTGCAGTGTAGCAGAAAGTGAGTTTCTGCTGCTGCTCTCAGAGAGAGCGCTGAGAGCAAGTTTTCTCTCTTGCATGCTCTCAGTTGTGGCACCAGGGGGTGCTATAGCGCCCACTGGAAAACTCATACCCCCCCCAACAATATCAGATTTATTTTTTTTTAATACGTGGTTATTGTAATATTTTCCTTGCAAAACACAATTAATTTAGAAAAACAACCAATGATTGCATATTGAGAATTTTAAAAACCCTATCTCGCAACCGGAAATGAACTTGTATGCCTGTTTTCACCTCCAGTAAACAATTGAAAAGAGCATGTAATGTGAAAAAGGATAATTTTCTACAACCCAAATTTCCAAGGATGGAATCAACAGCTCAAGAAAAAACTGTGGACAAAACAGAACAAAATACAAAATATAATAATATAAAATTGCAGCTTTAAGCTCACTGAAGCCAAAAAGTTGAATTACTCAAGTGAAATAACAACACAAGGTACAAGAGTAAATTTGACTGCATATTTTAAATGGAATTCATAAGAAAAATAAATAACATTAATAAATAGCAGCAAATATTTACAGCAAAATGTTACAGTGGTAAAGTTGTATTCATTACAACCTTTGTTATAATGAATTCAACAAATGTTAAAATCAATAGAAAAATATAGGAAATAAATTTTACTGTCTTGTCCAAAATGATCGACTACGTCAAATTTTTCATGAATACCAAAGAACAGACTCAAGATGTCAAAATAAATTCACAATTCTTGTCTTTATTAATAAACCCGTTTGGTGCCCTGGGCAAATAAAATGGATTGAATTACAACACATTAAATGAATCTGATACAACCTGGAACAATTTACTGGAGTATATTTTTTCATATAAATGTCACACAGGATTAAATAACATAAATATTTCAATGAGTTTCCAAGGACACAGTTTTTAAGATACAAACTCAACATGATTGTAGTAAGTAATAGCAAACTAATTCAAACAGTATTTGCAAGCTCTGTTTAAATTATTAGAAAAAAGTATCAAACTGTTTCACTTTCACTCACGGGCAGAGGACGGTGTATCAGTACATTGTAGCGTCTCTTAGAAAATACGCAAGTCTTAGAAAAATGCTGTCGGGTTCAAGGCTACACACAGCTACTGTCTGTTAAGTTGATGTAAGCAGGAGAAGGCTACTGAAGGGTTATTTGAAAAACGCATTTGTTAAATGTTCACAGGTATAATACACTTTGCACCTAACAAAAGCAAGAGCGTGTTTTCTTTTTCTGCTGGACCACAGGACCAAGGAAGACCACAGCGTGCACCTTCAGATCATTACAGCAGTATAATCTGTTTCCAAAAATGTATATATTTTTTAGATGCATAAAAAGGCCAAGACATTAGATATTAGTTTCATGCATCTTTATTCACAGTTTTTTTCTCCTTTAAACACAGCTTTATAACTGCTTAAGTAATTACATGGATTTTATGGGAACTTTCCAAAACCAACAACAAATCAGCCACAAGTGATTCGTACCACAGCAGCACAAAGGTTAGACACGAGGCAGCAGGAAGCTAAATTCCCCATCTTCAGCCTTTCTGTGACTGTCTGAAAATGGGTTATCTATGTTGCACAGCTTCTGACCTGCTGACCCATTGTCAGCAGGAGCAGAGGTGGCCACAGTGATTTTATTATTCCATTTTATTGTCTGATTAAAGTGTAGAAAGAGCACAGTATTATGAGACTGTGATGGCGGGGCATGGTATTATTTCCAGCTGCAGAGTAGAGTTGATAAAGTGGAGCAGGGAACAGCACCAGGATGAGGGTGATCGGCTCAAGCTGTGCCGGGTTTCTGATCCGTCTCTCCTGTTCTTAATTATAGTAGGGAGCTGGGGTTCAGACAGAAAAACCAGCGAAACTGAAGAGGTTAGGAGTTGTGCTTGGGAATCAAAAATAAAGAATAAACATCGCTAAAGGTTGCTTGGGGTTATTTTTGAAGGGGAACCCAACAGCACGTTCACAGAGCTCCTCAATGGTTACCTTATGTTTATTCTGTTTATCATAAATTTGCTCCATTAAAGGTCTATAATAGAAAACAGGGCATATCTAGCCAAACTTCCTGCATAACAGAAGCTATGTCACAGGAGTTGAAGATGAAATCTTTCCACTTCGACCTACTTACTTGGTGTGATCTTATCAAGCCCTGGCCAGGCGGGAACATAGTAACGAGGCAAGGTGCCCTCCATGAGTCTTTCCATCCACAGCCCCAGACGGTCCAGTTTGTGGTGAATCTGCAGGGTGGATGTGCTGCGGGACCGACTGGATTTGCGTTGAGGATGACCGTCACGGGAACCGGGCCTCGGTTTGCCCACTGACATCCCTGCTTCGTCTTCAGACGACTTCCCGTCCAGGTCCTCTCCGGTGTAGACCGGCTTGAAGAGACACAAATACTTTTTGTGGCCGTTCAGGGCCAGCACAAACCCGGTGTAGTCCGTTTTACGGCTCCCGCTGTCATCCTCGTCCGCATCGATCTGCGCCGCGTCCTGTGCGTACTCCAGCAGCGTGCTCATCCACTCGCCGTGCTTGTCGAGGTTCAGGAAGGAGAAGTGCAGCGTCTGGGTCCTGCAGAGGAAAAGCAGTAATGAGAACGCGTGTCTAAATTCCACCCGTAAAACTCATACGGCGCGTAAAGTTCATTGAGAGTTTACCCTGTGAAAGAATACACCTCTTTGGCAAACTTGCTAAGAAGGATATTTTTGGAGGCATCAGTGAGAACCAGGACTATATTGATGTGTCCAGGTCTCAGCTTCACCAGGTTGCTGAAGTAGGTGATGTCGGTCAGCTCTGTCACCTCCACAAAATTCTTTTTTGGAGGTCGGCTGAAATGAATAGCAACACAAAGCTTAAAAAAAAAAAAAAGGCATAAGTCTTTAATTTAATCCATGGTTGCTTGAGGAGCATTCTTGCCTCCCTGATGATCCATTTTCTGCCTTGGTTCCATCCTTCACCTTTGGTTTCATCTGTTTATCTTCACTGGAGTCACTGCAACCAGAGGAATTATACCCGTGTTTTTGCTTTTCATCTCTTGCGTTTTACTCAGAACCCCGCAGACAGAACCCACCTGAAGGCCTGGATCACCACAGTTCCAAACAAGATGAACAAAGCAGAGAAGATGAGGGACAGAAGAGGCATCATCTCACGCCTGAAAGTGAATAATTTCACAGTTGGAAAGTTTCTCTCATAAAATATGCTTTTAAACTAAAAGCGATTGCCTACCAGTTGTTATGAAGAATATCATCAATAACTTCTGAGAGGTAGTCATAAGACGCATAGATCCACCGGACTACAAACATCTAACGAGGAAAAATACGAACAGCGCTGAGAGACAGAACAGCTGTTTGGCTTTAAGTAACCACTGCAATGCAACCACTGTCTTCAAAATGATCGTACCGAAGCAAACTCGTTGTTGAGTTCAGGCAGCATGGCATCATGTATGAGGATGGACGGGTCCTTCTGAAGTCGTTCCAGTTCCTCCAGGAGACGCAGCTTGTCCTCCTCACTGCCGTTCCAGGCCGTAACTGGCTTGAACAAAGCTTTGCCGGCTGTGTTTCGCCTCTCCAGTATTACCACCTGCGCACGCACACACAGACACACAAGAACCCACAAATTAAAACCTAAAGAAGGACAGAAAGAAGGGAGTTAAAAGAAAAGGATTCAAAGACGGACAAAGGAAAGATTCAAGAAGGTACGGAAGTAAAGACCAAAGGACGAAAGGAAGCAAAGCACAGAGCATAAGTGAGGAAGGAAGGAAGGAAAGATAAAAAGAAGGAAGGATACAAGGTACCACCATCGCAATGGTAGAACACGATAGTCCTGTAACTGATGGGTTGCTGACAAAACCTACTCATTTGACAGGCGACATCATGCCAATTGGAAACAAAAAGAACCAATAATGGAAAAGGCACTGCAGTTTATCACTACCGCCATGAATACTGGACCCTCATTTCATTGCAGAATGAACCACAGTGAATGGAAAATGGAGCATCCAGCATCTAAGCTCAGTGACTGAAATCAACAATGCGTGGAAGAAATCCCCAAAACCAATGTTAAGTGCAGACTTTAAATACTTTCAAATGTTTGTACTATTTCGTTACGATGCTTTTGTACATGCTGTTTGGAGCACTGTACCTGCGGCGTTGACTGAGAGCTGTCCTCACTGTGCATGAGGATGTCACAGAGTGGTTGCTGCAGCCGTTGGTACACATAAGCAAACCTCACAACATCCCTTGTGTTGGTAGATGCAAATGAGAGAAATTCCTGATTTCCAGAGGAATATGTCTCTTCATCTGTTGTCATCAACAGAACACAGTATCTGAGGAGACCAGAGGCCAAAGAATAAACTCAGAAAAGAAAGGCCTGAAAATGTGATAACACTGACATCAATTAGATCTCCTTACTTCCTGCGTCTGTGGAACTGTTTGACCGGACAGAGCTCATCAAAGAGCTTCTGATTGACGAGCCGTGGTGCAAGGAGGAACTTGTTGTTTGACATGAACTCATCGATGATTTGTTTCTTCATTCCTTTAGCCTGCAGAGCGAGGAGATTGTGCATTTTAACTACATGCTAAGAGAAACCTTTCTAATACCAAACAATGATAGAAAGACATCAGATTTTTGCACGTGTTGCTTTAAAGTACTTGTATAATGTCAGCAGGCTTGTCCGTGTTCTCCTTGAAGACCAGCATGGTCGGAGCATAAGTGTTAATGTTAAACCGTTTCTGCAGTTCGGCCGTCTCCGCAAGGCCCTGGTCCACATAACCAAACTGCAGGTAGTCCTTGTAAGCAAACGCTGCCAGCTACGAAGACATAATCACAAGTTAACAGCCGCCATGGCTACATTCGTGAAACCTCAAATTTATTTTGCATTAACAAAAATGACTGGAACCTACTTTGAACAACAGAGGGACAGCAGGAACTTGATCAAACAGAAGCACATGTGGCTTGTTGAGCTCATGCCAGCTGTTTAAGAACTGCTGCTCATTTTTGTCGGTGATCTGAAGTACAGAAAATATACAACGCTGCGTGCATTTCTTTTCATTTGATGAAATGTACATCAGGCTGATTAGGCACTGATATATTTACCCTCTCCACAACTCTCTGAGGGAGGAGGTCTTCAACAAACTGCCTCAGGTGTTCTTTTGCTACGGCATAATGGAAAAACGTCACCTTTCCACTGATGACACCCAGTATGGACGGGGTGCGGTGGGCGCCGAGGTGATTGGATAAACGCCTCTCGTAGCCAACGTCGACCACGCCTATTCCGACGCCTGCAAAAGCCAAGACATTTACAAATACGTTTCTATTTTCTCAACCGACTAAAGCAGTTCAATGTGGCTCAGAGGTTGAATTTCAGACCTAGACCCTCCATCTCTTGCACCACTTCCTTCCACACGGGCTCGATGTGGATGCAGCTGAAGCACCAGTCGGATGTGATCTTTATCAGGTACGGCCTCCTGTAGCTGTCGGGCACCACCTCGCTGACGTACTGGCTGAAGTGCAGCGTGTACTTGCTGTCGGTGAAGTCCCTGTGGTTCTTGGTGTTGAATGGGAAGTTGAAGAAGGACTCGTCGAAGTAGAAGTTGTCTTGGCGATGTCTGTATCGGCTGCTGCTGTAGGCTTGGGTGTCATCAGTCTGCCCGTAGCGGTCATAGTTGGCACGTCTGTCCTCGCTGGACAGGATCTGGATTGCAGACCAAGCAGCTATTAGCTTAGATGACATTTTGCAGTCACACACGCATTGTTCAGACGCAAGTGTTGAGTTGGGTCTTTAATGATGCCTTTTTGACACAAATTTTTCTGGCAGTAAATCAGATGCTCAGTATGACGCTGCTTCCACCATGCTAGATAGGAATGTTTGTAGGTTTGAAAGTCTCACTTTATCCTCACTTCCACTGAGCACTGCGACACAAGCCCAAGTTGGTGTGGTGAAGTACACTATTTTGTCTATTTTTGATGTAAAAGCAGCCCCTACCTCCTACCCATATTCCTACCCATACTACGGCCTCTTTGACCAGTAGGACAACGGTACGGTACTGTTAGGGTGGACCTATTGGTGTCATACAGTACAGTCTATTGATTGGGGCGGGGGGGGGTAGAAAAATGTTTAAATATGTATATGATGTTTAAATATTTGTTGTTGCACTAGTAGTATGACACCATGTTGGGAAAGCCTGCAGAACTATTAAAACTAAACGTCTTTTTAAAAATTGACAAGAAAGTCTGGCTTCTTGGAATGAAAGGACATAAAAGTATGTAGACAAACCTCATAAGACTTTGTGATCTTGATGAACATGTCCTCAGCACCTGGATCTTTGTTTTTGTCAGGATGCCTTGAGAAGGACAAGTTCATTAGCTATGATCTGAGAAGAGTCCAGTGAGAGTGATAGCATTTTGGAAAAAAAACTCACCATTCCTTAGCGAGGCGCTTGTAGACCTTCTTGATCTCTGCCTGGCTTGCACTCCTGGTTACTCCTAGTATTTTGTAGGGGTCCATCTCAGGGGCTGCGTGGCTTGTTCCTGCCAGTAGGACAGAGAGGACCACCACAGCCATCACAGCCAAAGGTGGATTCATGTTTGACCCAGCCATCGGTCACCTTCAACCCATCAAAGAAACCACATATAAAGTCATATGTTAAAACAAAAAAAAAAAAAAAAGACCTTTTGAATCTTTTTGTGAAATTCAAACAATTTGAATGTTTCAGAAATTCAAACTGTTTGAGGAAAATGCGCTTTCTGCTGAGGAATAAAGAAGGATGCCCCCACATTTATTCCCGTTTAAATTACCTAAAATCCCAAACAGTTGTATTACACCAGTTGATGAGCATAATCATTACTTGGCATTTTGTAGGAGGGTTTTCACTCTTTAAACTTTAGATATTTAGTTTGGGGTCCAACAGGATTTCTTTGCTGCAGCTGCACATGGTCAGCTCACCACAGAATCCACTGTGAATTCCACCAACAATCGGCAGGAGCTTGAGGAAAATATGAAATCTGTAAAAATATATAAGCTGAAACAGAATTGGACCATGAAACATGAAAATGATACAACACCCAAGTAAATTCACTACGGACTTGCTAATACACTTCCCTCCTGAGGGACAAGATATTAGATTTCTATTCTACGACAACCACAGAACAAAAAACAACAAAAATGCAAATCCTAGGCTATACTAAAGCTTAGACCTAACTTTTTAAGATGCTGTGTGGTGAGACAAGAAACCCCTTGAACATCTCACAGCTGACAATGTGGAATGGAGCAAATTTCTTTTAGAGTGATGATGCAAATTATTAAACTCTGTGGCTTTCCAAATCAACAAAAGTTATTTCTACTTCACTTGCTGGAAATTATTGAATAGTAATACTATTACTTCTACTAGAATGGCATTCAATAAGCACATGGATAAAGTCAAATGATTGCGAATTAGCTTAAAATTCACAATCATTTGACATATGAAGTCAAATGATTGTGACACACTGAAGTTATTTCAGTAAGAGTAGCTGTTGGAAGTAGAACATCCGTTTTTTTCTAAATTGGATGAGTTTTGTTAATATATTTTGTTTAATGAATAAAATAAATTAAACTATTTTAGGTGTTAGTAAATCACTTCCTTCCCAGATATATATAAAAAAGAGAGATATATCAATATGTGATCATTTCTTGTGCGTGCGTCAATGTTTTCACGTCTGTGTATTGCCATATTTTTTATCATTATTATCAACCCCCCATAAAACTAGACCGTAGTACTTGACATCATGGTTCAGCTTATACGCTTGTTAATGTGATACAGCGGTTTATCCAAAACGGTGAAGATTACCTAAACCACAACTGCTTACAAAAATAAATGACACAGCAGCGGACTGTAAGAATTTAACCGAATGTTTTAAAGCTGTGACATCAATGTAATCCCTCTTGAATAACGCGTGTATGCTAATTTTGTTAAGGATTAGTTACCACAGGGGCTGCAGCTTCTCCAGCTTGCTTCAGTCACCCCGGCTTGATGCAGTCAACCAGTGCAACGCCACATACTTAGGATACATATGGTTCCTTTCCAGATCCTCGTCCCTGGTTAAAATTAATGTGTAAAGACCACAGACTGCACTAGAGGTTAATGTACTGGGCGTGTTCCGCAGCATCCTACAGTACCTCCAGCACTGGCTAATGATAATCTGCTACTGCGAAGCAAGAGGCCAGGAGGAGGCGCCATTTCTCGAAAGTCGCTTTGGGAAATTGAGTAGTCTGCGATTCCGCCATGTTGTGAGTGGCAGTTTCTTCATAGACCCTAGAAACTTGGGTTTTCGAATAAAAAAAACACTAAAGTCAACACCTTCAACAAACTTTAATTAATTGTTTTTATATACAATTAGATATGTAAGTTGTAACATCAATGATAGTAAATGATTATACATAAATTAACTCAAACTCAAATAAGACTTAGTTTATAATATTATTATTATTATTATGTACAATTATCTCAAGTTAGATTTCGAGTCAAAGCTATTTTCAGTCAACCAGGAAGTCAGATAGAATTTAATAGAACAGCCTTTATGGCCACACAGTTGGGAAATTCAGGTGTAACAACATAATCAATATATTTTGGTTCACACAGAAGATCAAAAAGTGTTAGAAATATACATGTAAGTATATGACAAAATCAACCATAATAATGTACAAGTTTATTACATTACACATACTGCCGTTATCAGAAATAGAAATATAATAGGAAAATGTACAACGGGTACTAGTTTTGCTAGCGAAAACTTCGGACTATTTCTAATTTTTATTTAGATTTTTTTTAAATAGTTTAACAGCTCGGATCGTGAACGTCACCGCACGTTGGATGTTTAAACGAGATACGCTGTGATAATAATCAAACGCACATTGTTGTTTTTCTTCCGTCTTTCCTGCTTTGACCAATCAGAAGAGACAACTGCGATGTAAATAAGGAAGTAGCTTGTGCAACCGAGAAAATATGAGCCGTGATATCCTTCTACGTGTGAAAGAACAAGTTTCGTTTTTCCGAAACGGTAGGTCATAAGCTGGTCTTGAATAGATAAAAACAGACAACCCCCCCCCCCCACATTATCAGGTACAGATTTTCTGTACACCTCTGTTTTTACCGATCAGCTATTAATACGGTGGCTGAAGAATGGAGGAGCAACACAAGAAAATTCTTCAACGAAACAGGATCAACTTAGTCACAGTTATGGATCCTTTAGTCCTCTATGAGCCTCTTTTTGAAAAGGGAGTTTTCACCATGGACATGATTGATACGATAAAGGTAAGACATTAAGGTAAATGTCACTGTGTTTGAGTAATTGTATTCAGGACAAAAGTAAAATGACAAAGACTTGCGACGGTGTCTTCTGTCAGAGCTCGGGGACCAGACGAGACCAGGCCAGACAATTAGTCCTGGACTTAGAGACCCGAGGGAATCGAGCCTTTCCGTTATTCCTGGAGAGCCTACGTGAATCGGGTCAGCAGGGTTTGATAGAAACTCTGCTAAGGGCTCCACCAGTACCCACAGCGGTCCGCCCTGTTGTACAACCTCTGCCCATCTGTAAGTTAGACACAAGCAGCATTCACCGTGACTTTTTTTTTTTAACACAGAAAACTCTCTAATCTTTTTATCCATCCTGTCTCTCCCAGCCTCTCCTATGGATGTTAATAAACAAAGTAAATATATTGTCCCCATATGTCCCGTAGAGAGGCCCGATAAGTCTTCCAGTCCAAGTAAGAGAAGCACATTTTTATATACCTTTTTAATAAATGTAAATAAGCCCATAGGTTTTGTTTTGTTTTTTATAGAAAACACAGTCTAATGTACAAATGTTGCCATTTTATTTAAGGTTGTCTGTTTTGTTATGTCTACTGTATCCAAGGATATACCGAAATAACAAATCAAATCAATAAATTACCATCTTCATGTTTGGTTGGAAGCACAACAAAATAATCTTGGCCCTTACCTTATAATTCTGTCAAGTCTGCATTGAAATTCTGCTCTCCAAATGTGGTTGTTGGACATAATAATTGCAAAAAATGAACTTCCCTCCAAACGTGTTCATTGCTATTGGCTTACTAAATTATGAGAAGAAATTTTAAGATAAAAAATAACTCATTCTATTTTGAACAGTTTTGATAATTATCAGGTATATACAATTTCAAATTAAAAGTCCAGTGTATAAAATAACATTTGTTTCACTACCAAGTTAAAGAACAATTTAAATGAGTTATAAAACATTAAAATAACAAATTTATTTAAAAAAAAAATCATAAACAGTGAATTCCTTTAAAGTTGCAGGACTTTATTTGTTGTAAAGTACATTTTCTCAACTATTGATAAACTGATACAAATCCCATTGCTAGAGTGCAACTATTTTTAAATACAGTTTGTACGTTATGCAAATCAAGGTAATATGTCAAATACAGACAGATTGGTCAAGGAATAGATGCATTGGATGCTGGGGGGGAAAAAGGTATTCAAAATGTAATTATCTGTCCCACTGTTTATATTGGGATTTCATCCAATGTAAACAAAGTATAAAAGCAGGTGGATCCATCAATACATCTGCTTTTATGCTTTAAAATATGCAAAGTGATACAAACTGATTCAAATTATTGAGCTGCAATGTATGTAGGTACTTTAATGTATATAATCCTACAGCACCTGAAAAGGAGTACTTTAAACCAAGGCCAGAAGGCAGGACACGCCGAGATAGTCTTCAGGTAAGTACCATTTAATTTTCACTAATGTTCTTATTTTGGTAATTCTCTGGGTAGACAATATAATTTCTGGTTACATATTGTTGATTTTTCTATATTTTTGTGTGGCAGAGCTATAAAATGGATTCCAGTCCATGTGGTTATTGCCTCATCATTAACAATGCAGACTTTGAGCCTCAAAGTGAGCTCAGCAATCGCAAAGGCTCCAACATAGACAGTGAAAAGCTGGAGAGAAGATTCTTGGCACTCAACTTTACTGTGGAAGTCAAGACAAATCTGAAGCAAAGAGTGAGTCTTTTCTTCTATGACCGTTTCTGAAACGGTGTAAAAAAAAAAAAAAAAAAAGGCAGCTCAGCTAACTCTTTGTCTCATTTCAGCAAATCAGACATGAACTGTCAGCTTTGTCCAAAAAGGATCACTCTCAATACGACTGCTGTGTGGTTATCATGCTCTCCCATGGGACTGAGGTCAGTCTTCAGGTTTTCTTTTTTTCTTTCCTAAATCAGTTACAATGTTCTCAATCAACTTAAAAATATAATTTATAAATGCTACAAGTATTTCCAGTTAAGCAAAATTGCGAGAAGTATGGTAGATTTTTTTCCTCTCACAAATTAAAGCTGTGTTAGATTAGGCTTCTACAGTAAAGGGGGAAAAAGTGTTCACCAAGGGGGCCAATAAACATAAAGGAACAAAATTAGGCATAATGTCAATTTTTTTGAGAGGACATTTGTTGTGTCATTTCATAAATAAAGTAAAGGTTTATAGATTAACAGAAAAGATAGGCCTATGATCTTTTAGCTTCAAAAGAATTCTGTAGAAAACTCTTTGAAACTAGATCTGCTTGATATTAAACACAGTAGGCATCTAAGAACATATGTGCTTAAATGATGCTTATAGGTGAATCACAGTCGTTTCCCTGGCGCTGTGTATGGAACAGACGGGTCTCACATCACAGTTCAGGACATCACAACTTTGTTCAACGGCAAGAACTGTCCTTCTTTGCAAGGAAAACCCAAGCTGTTCTTCATTCAGGCCTGTGGCGGAGGTACACCAGTAAACACCAAAGAAATTCTTATTTTGATTGGAAGTCAAAATTGAAATGTGAAAAAAAACAAAAAAAACATTCTCATAGAGACACTTTTCCTGTCTTTAAGATGAAAGAGACATAGGATTTGATGCGTCTCCTGAGGAGACTGGTCCATCGGTGGGCGGGCAAGACGACCAGACAGATGCCATCACGACGTCGTCCAGCAGCGAGTCTCTGAGCATCACTGACGAGGTGGATGCCAGAACATCACTGCCCACCCCAAGTGACATCCTGGTGTCCTACTCTACCTTCCCTGGTATGTCTGAACTTTTAAGACATGTGTGTAGCCACCGAGAACATCCTGCCAGCCTAACGGCTCTTTGACCAATTCAGGTTTCGTTTCCTGGAGAGACACAAAGGCAGGTTCTTGGTATATCGAAACACTGGACCGCATCCTTGAGGAAAACGCAGCCACTCATGACTTGGCCACCATGCTGATGATGGTGAGTTTCACTTATTAGACCAACACAAAAAGGTTCCCTTTCACCTATCAACATCTTTTTAAACAACCACAATCGTCTCCTGTTTGTCACGGTTTATTTTCAGGTTAACAACGAAGTCTCCCAAAACTCTGCAAAAGGGATGTACAAGCAGATGCCCGGTTCCTTTAACTTCCTTCGAAAACTTCTCTACTTTCAAACCTCTCCATAGTGGAAGACTGTTCCTCTTCTGAACATATTTGACTACTTAATTGTCAAATGTGGGAATTTTTATCAATTTTGTAACTGTTGTTGGGAATAATGGCTCAATGTGGATATTTTTAACTGTTGCTTAGATTTCTACATGAACTTTCTGGGTATAATGTACTTTCAATTCTACTAAGACTATGAATTTCTACTGTAAACGTTTCACTTTGAGTTGACTTATTGGTGGGGACTTTGTTCTTGTATAAGCCAAGAAAAGAAATGAATCCACAATCTCATGCTGTACATTAAGTTTAAGATAATGTTTTATTTCTGCTCTTCAGTAACTTAAAAAAATACCATCTCTACTTTGTTCATTTATCTCTCGTTATTGTATGATCGGTTGTACTTGTATACAAATGTGAATGTGCGTAATCTGAAAGAAAATGGTAGAAAAAAGAGGAAAAGGTCTTTTGAGAGTTTGGAGAACAGTTTGGGTCAAGACCAACCAGCTGTGAAGGTCTGTAAATCAATTGTTCTCTCAAATAACATCTCATCTAAGTCTACAGGCCTCAAGTTCCTTTTAATGACGTGTTCTCCTTCTGCTGTGGATTGTCCATATGTCTCCATTGTACTCAAATGTTTTCAACGTCTTTAAGTTTGCCTTTGCTCTTTTCAGCTGATGTGGTGAAGGATGTGCAATTTACCTCGCATCGCTTCCAATTATATAAAGCACCTTTCACTATTAAGTTGTCTAGTCTTTCTTGATTAATACTTCTCAAGCTTCTCAAAAAGAACGAAAATATTCCCCTTGGATCCCCACAAGTTTTATGAACATTTTCAAGTGGACTTTTTCTTCCAAAGTTTTTTAGGAAAATATTTTTGCTCCAGTTGTGAACTCTTATTAAAGAATCCAATTTAAGTATTTGTTTTTCCCAATAAAAGTTTATTTTACCCATCAGGAGCTTCTCGGTCCATTTAGACTGAGAAGTCTAAATCTTATGTGTATTTGGTTAATCATACTGGGAACATCTCAGAAATTCAGAAAAGTTACTTCAACACAGCGAAAGTTTATTTCCTACTCATCATTGCAAAAACAAATAAATTCTGATATGAAAAGAGCCAGCAGTACTGCAAAATGTGGCTGCAACACATTACATCTGGAAAAATAAAACATTTGTTGAAGGATAGTACATCACTGTCAGAGCATTTGGGAACCCCTTTACATATTTCTTACAAGCTGAATATGAATAACACATTTATGAACATTCCTACCTCTGAAATGTTTATATCAGTTTGCTTCTTTTTTGTTGTTACTGTCTGGTTTTTTTTTCCATTCTTGTACAACAAACTTGAGCTCTTCTTTGCAAATTAAAATATTTATAACGTAAAGTGCTCAATAGAAATGACTCGATCTGCAGTTGAGAAAGTTAATGCAACTATGCTTAACCAATTTAATGAGGCACATATTAATGAAGGTCACAGTGTTACTTTTATCCATAAGCTATTAAAACAAAGCTGTATCATAAAGTTACTTATTTTAGCATGTTTTAACTTTTAGACCCATCAAACACAAGGATGAGTCTGTAACTGAAACGGTAAACGCTCTAACCCATTAAGGCATGATTATTATTTTAATCCTTCCAGTTTGAGTATTCGTAACAACACCCTGTGGGAAAAAATTACATTTTAAATCTTAATTCATTATTGCCACCTTTAAACAATATAGATCTGGCTTGGCTCACTGCTGCAAGCATCTTGAACTTTTTTTTTTTAATTTTTATTTTTTCCCTTCGCTGCTCCCAGACTGGATGTCTGCTTCATATCCCTCTTGGGGTTATGATGTTATTGTCGATTTTTGGTGTGCTATAGCCAGCTGAATAAGTGCCACAGGCGTCAGGTTCAGACTTCTTATGAAAAACAGTCGGCTGCCCTAGTTTCACATGAATAAATACCGAGCAAGCCTGTTCCCACCCTCAGTCTTTCTGTGCACCAGCGTTTGAATCTTCTATAACCATGATGCTCGTCAGCGCTACTTTGTGTGAGTATAAACTCATAAAATTACTACTGTGGAAAAATGTCTTACTGGACGAGGTTAAATTGCTTCTGATTTGTCATATGTTAGTAAGGATTTAGTAGATCTTCTTTCCCAGATCTGGCATCAACCTGGCTGCTTGTAGATGCAGGTACTCAGCTTTTCTATCTGGTTTGAAGAAGTGTGGATACATCTCCAAGCTTCTTGTATTATAATCATACTCTCATGATGCATCCTTAGGTATCCCCAAAGAGACTGTTACCACCTGTGTGGACAACGTTGTGCATCGTTTGAGCTGTGGTATGACTTGGAACGAAAGGATTAAAAGGTTGGTTTAGTGTTAAGCTAAAACCTTTGAAGTCTCACTCAGTTTTTTTCCTACAGATTTGGAGAGCGTGATAAGTGTCGAGACGTCCCTGTACGGACGTACGGACAATGTGACGTGCAGTGAAGGGACGAGTCCAGATCGGGTTTCCAACACTCACTGCTCTCTTGCTGGCGTCGCTGATGTCGTCAAGAAAAGGTACACAGTTGAAGTGGCTCAGCTGTGTAGGTGTACAGTACAGAATAATTACACCCATATTTAAAGTTGGTACATGTCAGAATTTTTGTGATTCCATTTGATTTCTGGTCATTTTTGTTTTTGCAGATGTAATGGAAAAAAGGTGTGTGAGCTGAGCACAGATGTCCTTGGAGGCTCTGATCCCTGCAGGAACACCGCCAAATATCTGCAGACCACCTACACCTGCCTTCCCGCCTGTGAGTCACCCCGCCTGGGTTTGGTTAAGTAAAAAATGTGTTTCATTTGATTCTTGATTGTAGTAGAGTGCTTAATATATAAGTGATGCCGTGGAAACCAATACTTAGTAGTCATGGAGATTTATATTGCATGTATTGCCGTCGTAGCAGAAGAGAGTTTGGGGTTAATTTTGTCATCATGTGATTTCTGTAACTTTTTCAGTTCACCGCATGACATGTGAGCACTCTTTATCACACTTAAGCTGTGGTAAGATCTACTTTTTAAAAATATACATATAACCTACATGGCAAAAAAAAAATATATATATATATATATATTATATATATAAATATATATATGTATGTATATCAAACTTAATAACAATCCATCCTTTCTTATTGTCAGATCAAGGCCAGGTTATTGTTGTCCATGGAGCTGATTACGGACGCAGAGACCAGACCACATGTCGGTATGGACGCCCAGCCAATCAGATCCAAAACACAGCCTGCTCCAGCCCCACCAGCAAAGTTGCTGAAAGGTAGTTTCTCCATTCTGTTCCAGCTTGTTTCGGCAAGGCTGTATAACTGGGCTGCCTTCATTTGAGAAATGGTATTCGCTGTGTGCCTTTACAGCTGCCAAGGGAAAAACAGTTGCATCATTAAAGCCAGCAACTCTGTGTTTGGAGATCCCTGTGTGGGCACTTACAAGTACCTGGAGGTGGCTTACAACTGTCAGTGTAAGTGGACTGAAACGCTGTCTTGAGCTACGCTGACGTTAGCTGTAGGTCTACATCTGCCACGAAAAAAAAAGGAACAGATGCAAATATTTTTAAGCGCCTAAACACTTTAGTATATAAATATATCTTCATTGTTTCAGTTTGTAAGTAGATTTGGTATGTAATTGTAAAGTAAAAGTGTGAGTATGTTGCTCAATCAGTACCTTAAAACAAATCTTTTGCTTTGTTTTGTTTTTTTTCCTCCCCAGATCCTGTCACTCCAGATGAGGAGATATAAAAAACAGATCATACAAAAAATACAGAATAATCGGCATCCGTCATCTTTAAGGGCTGTTTTCTTGCTCATCTACTTTCTCATGTTAAATAAAATATATAATTAAAGTTTGAAAAAAAAAACTTCCTTTTTTAAGACTTCTGCCAGGAATGTGACTTTATCTGGTAATTCCAGGTGTTCCAGGAAGTCAAAGAGGAGGGAATAAGAGCTAACAACAGGCGCTATTGACTGTTCAGGAAACCTGCAACACACAATGCTGTTACTGTAATTCATCTTCAATATGTTCTTTCTACAGGTGACATTTTAAATGTTAGTCAGAGGAGGTTTCATTTGTCCTAGAGACACTTTAATGCTGACGTTTAAAGTATTATAGTCGTTGTTTCAACTTGAATCTGAATTTTAATGACACAGAAGTTGAAATAATTCAGTAACACTGTACATTTATACAATTAGAAGTCTAAGTGCTGCTTGCAGTATATAATATGTCATTTAACCTAAATAGATGATTTTATCAAGAACTATATCTTTAAAGTGCTTTGTCAGTGTTGGAAAAATTTTGAACTTTCTAAAATTTAAACTGATGGGGTGGGGCAAAAAAAACTCTCTATACACATAAATCAAAGTTTTATAAATGATTTTGTTGTCTGTAAAGCAACCGATTTCTCTGTTGACCAACAAATAAACTTAAAATAAAAGTACCCTTATCTGACACCTGAATCAAGGAATTCTGTTGAATTTTTTTTGGTTTCACTTCTTCTTTTGGGTGTTAAAATACGATAAAAAAAGAGAATATGTTTAGAAGAACTGGATGGAAAATTACCACATCTGTTACGGATTAGTGTCCACTTTGTATTAGTTAAAATTCTATTATAAACAATCTGTGGACTCGCGAGGGAGTGTTTTAAATTCTGTCTGAGATGAGAGAAAAATCCAAATGTCTCGCCGGCGCAGACAATGGTAAATCGTTTTTAATCCACAGGGTGATCAGTCATGGTTGAGTCAGTCGGGCCTGGCTTTGTTAGGCTAAAGCTTTCTGCCAGACCTGCACTTCTACCCTAACCACATCAGCCTAATTTTACAGGAGAAAATCAGCTTCATGTTCAGAACTGTAACATTAAAATACATTTAATTTGAAGAAAGTTTAAATATGGATTGTTTTAATGAGAAGAAAATAATGCGGGTAACCTTCATTTGACTAATTTAAACCATGACTAATTTAAATGTTCGTTAACTGTAGAGATCAAACAACTTCAGATGAAAGCTTCGTCACTGATGTAGTAATTTTGCACTTTGAAATTCAGTAGAATGTCAAACCAATGAGTCTTCCTCAGTCATACCATTAAGGGAAAAAAAAACTGAGTATAAGTAAATGATTCACATATTTTAGGGGGAACTTGTGATCGTTCAGTACAGGAGCCCTCCCTCAAGGAAGTACATCCGAGAAATATCACAGAACCGACTACCTTTACAGTAAATGGATGAGTCATCTCAAAGCTTATTTGAAGAGGAAAAAAAACAACCATAACGGTAAAATTAGGTAACTTTGGATTTACCTTCATTCATTTTTCACCTCTCTAACTGCAATATCATTAAGCATGCTGCTATTAATGGGAGGAGCCACACTTAGTCATATTCTTTGTACAGTAAAGTCATTGTGGTTGTTTTGTTGCTCCATCTTGACCCAGTTACACTGTGGTCATGGTCACATTTTTTTACAGGTGGATATGAGCCAATTGAATAAAGTCGAGCCTTTGTTCAGCTCTTCATCTGGCCACATAAATAGAGGAGTCTTGTGTGTGTCAGCATCAGTCCAGCTTCTCGTTGGAGACTACAGTCTTTGAACCATGCTGCTCTTCAGACTCAACTCTGCACTGTGTGAGTACTCTCAACATTATAACAGTGATCACTGGTATAACAAATCAAAAATACCTAAATAGTATATTCTCTCTCTGTGATTATGTTTTGCTAATTTTATAAGTAAGGTCTGTAAAACCGAATGATTATGTTTGGCCAGTTTCATAATAAAATGTAAAGTGAGCTTTTTCATTACAATCTGGCACTTTCCTCCATCCCTAGTGCTTGCAACAGCTTGCCTACTCATGGTATCTGGTAAGTATTTACAGTTATGCAAATTTACATAGCTAATACTTTTTACTTAAAGCACTTTCATTTATTTATTTGTTTTTTATTTACAGTTGCTGTTACCGAAAAGGCCACAACCTGTGACGACAGCGATAATATCCAGCATTTGAGCTGTGGTTAGCTAAACGATCTAAATTTACTTTACAACTGAATAAATCTTACATTAAAAGTCGGAGTATGCAACTTTTACAAAAATGCTTCTTGCATGTTAAAACTGTCACCGTGTCGTGAAAACATAGTATGAAAGGTAATCTGTGAAAAGCTAGAGCTCCTCTTCCCAGTGTCACTATTGCCATCTGCAAAAATGCACCTCTCCCGGTCAACGCCTACACAAGGCTGATTATGTAAGCGGTGATTGGTTTTTATGAAATAACCTATAGTGTTTTTTTTTTGTTTTTTTTACCAGGAGCAGTGCATTTTTGTAGATGACAGCAGGACAATAGAAGGCAGAGGAGATAGATTTTTTTGCACCGATTATCTGTCTCATATTATACTGTGACGGCGATAGCTTTAACAAAAGAAACATTTCCTTAGAAAAGTCATTGCAGCTTTGCTCATATAAAAAAAGGCTTGATTGTAAACTATGAATTTCAGCCAAGCTTGTTGTATCTGGAAAACTGTCTTTGCATAATAGGTGGAGAAATTAAAGCAAATATCAAGTGCGAAACATCCACTATTGTTCCTTATGGTTTTCTGTTGTGTGTAACAGATAACGGAGTGATCAGTGTGCAGTCAGCCCTGTATGGACGAGCTGACCGACGGATCTGCAGTGAGGGCAAGCCTCCCCAGCAGCTTGCCAACACACAGTGCTCTCAAGTGGGCACTGTGGACATCATCAAAAAGAGGTAGCCTCATTATGACTAGCTTCAGCTATCAAAACTATGTCGCTAAGCACAGCAGGGGCAAGTATTGTACCTTCCAAGTCTTCTGCCTCCTGAGAGGTGTCTAATCAGTGTTGTGCCTCTGTTATTGATCAAGTCACTCACACACGCACAAACAGCTGTTAAATACAGAAAATGGCGACTAAAAATAACTTTTTAGCTGTTGCTTTGGCACCCCCTCAAGTGCAGCGCGCCTATGCATTGTTGCACATTGTGCATACAAACTTTTTGCACCACTGAGAGCAGGTTATGACTTGGAAAGTTACATTTTTGTCACAATTATTTATTTATTTATTTACTTTTTGGCACATGTGAATCCTGGTTCTTATTTTAGAGCAGGGATCTTTAAATTGTTTGAAAATTAGCTAAATTTCCTTCCAAGATAAACTAGGAGTTGCTACTCTCTGGTCATTCCTGATGTCTTCCGCCACAGCGTTGTGTCAGTACCCAGACCTGCAAGCTGACCAAAGATTTATAGACGTGCTCACTTGATTATGATAAATCAAGGGCATTTTATTAGCAACCTACCGTTTTCTATTTGAAACTATTTTTTTTCCTTTGGACTGGACAGAAAGTCATGGGAATAATCTTTAATGTTCATGACAAATAATATTTCAGCATAATAATTATCTCAAACAACCAGCAGACATTTACAACTCTGCATAAAAGCAATGGTTGGAAATCTGCAGCATAAAAGATTACTGAGGGTAAAAAAACAAAACAAAAAAACAGGAAAGTACCCTTTACTTAAAAGATGCGCAACATTTAGGTAGAGAAGGACTAACTGGTGAGGAGTCAGAGATTTAGTGATTATATTCAATCTTCTGCATACATTATTTTTCTTTTATTGCCCTATTGAGGAATTCAGTGGCGTGCTTCAACTGTCATTGTAACAGGTGTGATGGCAAGAGGGTTTGTGAGTTCAACACGGGTGACGTTCGCAGCGTCGATCCCTGCGTCGGCATCGCCAAGTATCTGGAGACCAATTACACCTGCCTCCCAGCACGTCAGTCACCTTTGAACGGCACCAAGAACTGAGCTGAGCTGCACATGAAGCTGTCAAATGTCTAAGGTTGTCCATGTTGTTCATTTTCACAGATCGTCTTGTCACATGTGAACACTCCTATGCACATTTGAATTGTGGTGAGTACTTATTTTCCATTTACAAATGAATGAGCATGAATTAAACATACATGGGCAGGATTACTTTATCACTGTTGTGTGTGTAAGTTATTGTCCTGCTCTTGATCAGATTACGGGCAGGTCATATTTGTCTATGGGGCCGACTACGGACGCCGAGACCACACCACCTGCTCTTACAGACGACCTGCCTCTCAAACTGAAAACGTTTACTGCTCAAACCCCACCAACATAGTGGCTCAAACGTAAGTACTGGGCCATTTTCCTAAGGGAAATGAACATAAAATCCCATAATAAACCTCCTCATACAATTTTAACCTCAGACACAACTAAATGCGGCTCAAAAGTTTTACTGTGTATCCATAAAAAGATCCAGTGGAAACATTAGCATTTAGTATAGAGCTATGAAGTGTTAGTCTCCAAACAGATCTCTTGTTCTTTTTTGTTCCACTTATAACTTCCAGATTAAGCTAAATTTAATTTACAAAAATGTATACCAAGTATAAACAAGTAATACTATTAAGAGGGAAACAAAAACATCTTACCAAACTAACCTGGCCCTATGTGAACTAATTACTTCCTTTCTTAAGTCATGAACTATCTGATTCACCACAGTCAATCTCACCAGCCATATCCTGGTCTTATTACTGCTCGCCCTGCAATCGAAGGATTGCCGGTTCGATTCCCAGTCCGCCTGCACGATACTGGACATTTCACCCGCATTGGCTGCTGGTGTAAGTCAGAAGGGCCGGTGCTGCAAAATTGCGGCCTTGCTTCTGTGTGACTGCCCCAGGGCAGCTGTAGCTACAGTCCAGTATCTTGCCATCATCAGTGTGTGAATGTGCCCTTTGAGATTTCAATCTCGATTAAGAGACAAATTTTACAAACAAACATAAATGGAAAAGGGAAAAACTGCTTCAAAAAAAAAAAAAAAAGACTTTTTGTTTCACTGGGAAAGCAGCACTAACTGTATGTATGCCTGTCACCTGGTCATCCGCAGCTGTAACGGGAAAAGCAGCTGCACAATCAGAGCCCACAACTCAGTTTTTGGAGACCCGTGCATAGGCACATTCAAGTACCTGGAGGTGGCATACACATGTGAATGTGAGTAGCTTAAAGGCTTTTTTTGACCCTTTGTGACAAAGGTGTGCCATTTTCTTAGCGCAACTATCCGTAGCAGCAAGTTTCTTTTCTGATTTGAAAATTCTGTTTTGTTTGCAGATTTTTGAGTGACTTCAGAAAGATCTGCATGAACAAGAATTGGAAAACACATTGTTAGCACATATAAGATTTTATTTCAAGTACAAAATCATACCCAGATTAGTATAGGTCATGCTAATGTTTAATGTCTGTAATTGGACGAGATTATTTGATTATATGATTATATTTTTCAGCAGATGTTGGCAAGTGTGTTTGGTTCCCATTGAGGAGTTACGTTACTCAGGTCTGCTTAATGAATTAAAACTGTCAAGAAATAATAAATTTAGCATCTGTGTCATTGTTGTGTTCATGATTTGTTTTTTCTGACTGAACCCCACATTCTGGTTCAGTTACCATGTTGTCCCCTGCATGAGAGAAAGGACTATGCCAAAAAAACGGAATAGATAAATAATGAAAGTTAATGAATCAAAATAAATCTGAAGAAAAAGTCACCAGTTAAAGTAAGCGACACTAACCAATGGGCATTTGTGTGCGTTAAAAAAAAAAAAAAAAAAAGATCACATTTGGTGTATTTGTTGCTTGGGGATGCATCCAAAAATATGAAAAAATAAATCATACAATAGCTCGATGGGTACATTTACACTCTGTCAATATTTCATACAAATGTGGTTGTTTTGAATGTGTGAAAACTAGACGGATGCATAGCACCTAAAGGACTGTGATAAAAGCTCAGGGTTCGAAAGAGAAAACTGTTAAAATAATCGGATGTAAATGGGTGTTGACATAAAATATTACTACCAAATGACAGTGAAGTTACTGGTTTCTTGGGAGAGATCCGTTTTCGACGGGTAAACAACCTTCAGGTTCCCATCTTGATCAACGGTTCGGACCTGCTGGACGATGAGTTGGCTGGAGGTTTCTGCGTCGGCGGCCGGCTGCCGTGCGCCATCCTCCTCTCCGTCTGACCCGGCCTCCTCCTGATGTTCAGCAGTGAACTTGTTCAACTCTGCCATTTTCTGGTGAGGAAACAGAAGCAATCAACTGTACAACGAAGCTGCTGCTGCACAAAGAAATGTCAGAACAATTAAATTAACATTTCTAATTTGATTAATTCCAATTAAAAAGCCCTGAAATGAATCTAATTCATTGTTAAACATCTGAGCAAATCCGCATTGTAACGTAGCTTAAATTTTAATCAGACACTAAAAGACAAGAAAAGATTTTTGCAGGGAGTGTTGGCTTGGTTATCAGGCCCAGGCAACACTACCTGGGCCTAATAAACACTTAAGAAGTAAGAAAACACACCTGAAAAGGAAGGAAGGGAAGACGAGAGGGGAGAGATGAGTGCAAAGAATTAACGACAGAAAAGACTGGACATAACGGAGAGAGGAAAGGAAGACCAGAAAGAAGGCAGGCAGGATGGATACAGTTACAGAAGAAAAGAGCAATTAGGAATAAAGGCACAATAAGAAATAAGAAAGGAAAGATGCTGCAAAGTGACATGAGGAGAAAGGAAAGACAAGGAATAAAAAAAGCAAAGGAAAGAGGGCAGTGAGGGAGGGAAGGACACAGAAGAAAAGAAAGAACAACTTCTGACAATAGCTGCTTGGTGCTTGGAAATAAATAAAAAAACTCTTTTTCATAATAAAAAAAAGTACATTAACATTTATTCACAATCAGGTCTTGGAAATGAGCAGAGAACAAATATTTTTACCAACATTCCTCCACCTTAAGGACAAACAGGGACGTGAAATATAACACTTCATTTTCACACATCCTGACGCTTGTCAGATGTGAAAGTTCGATTTATTGGTCGTCTGCAGAGAAAACAAAATAGTATCAGCAAAACAAGATACAGAAAACTGGACGCTTACTATGATCAAGGCATCCATGACATCTTTACAGGTCTGCAGGCTGGTGGAGCTCGTCACTTCTATCAGCAACTCTGTAGTCGTCTTCTTGATCTGCACAAGAAAGAAGTTATGTACTCTGTTATAGGATAAGAAGAAACAATATATTGGGGCATGACAGAGTCGTCTTGCAAAACCAGATGCACGTGCCAAATTAAATACGATTTGATTTCTGCAAACGGTTTAAACGAGTGTTGTTCAAAACTCATTTAACTGTCAGAGTGTCTTCAAAAGAAACCCAGCAGACAAACACTAAGCACAGACCTTGGTTTTCTCACTGTTAGTAATTGGTGGGAATGAGATCACATCTCCATCTGCATCCACTAAGCAGGGGTAGACTGATTTTCCTTCCAAAAGCTGCAGGTATCTGTTGAAGAAGAAATCTATAAACTACTTGGCAGAGACAAAGATGGTTTTGAAGGACCAGAACATTGCAACAGAGTACTACACGAGACAAATAATAAAAAAAAAAAATAAAAAAAAAAACAATCCTAATACAAGAGTGTTTTTGCTGACTGAAATGTATTTCCTCGCCATTCCTTCTCTGGGACCATCTCAAAAAGAGGACAAGCAACAGTCCAGTCTTTTTTCTTCCGACACTTCCACTCAAGTCCTCATCAGTATGCTTTCTCTGTTAAAGTTTCCCGAACAAAGACCTTCTATTGCTTGCCTTCCTTGAGGAAGGCCTCCGTTTCTGCTGGACAATTCCCAAGTCAGCAATCCTCCCCATGACTGTGCAAGTCATAAAATTTCTATAATGTTAAGCTGTCATGAAGTCTTTTTTTTTTGTGGTCTGATGCAATATTGACATTTCCAGAGGAAACTAACTCTGCAGATGTAATGTTGTTTGGAAGGGTTACTGACTTGTGCAGGCCAGTCACATTCTGCCTCTTCTTCTGCTTCCTGAGCTCATCGGCCTCTAAATGAAGCTGTCTTATCAGCTCGACGGCCGTCATCTCCCTCCGACCCAGGGGCACCACCTGAGAAATATTTCATTCAAGAGAGAAACTTTAGATGCTTTAGATGCTTTTCAATACTGTGCAGACGTTTTCCACCACTCCTTATAATATTTAGCCAAAGAGGTTCCTGCAGTGTTTTGGTTTCCTGAAGGCCCGTTAAGGTTTTCTTTTATGCTCCTTTGCTGAATTAACCTGCTGATGATGGCCAAGACGTTTGCACAGTAATTTAGAACTGCTATTGAGGAAGTTGCATTCAAATGAAAGCCCTCTGCAGCGGCGTACCTTCAGTCGGGTCGGTGGTCTCACATCGTAAACCAGTGGACCTTTCACAAGCTGGGCATCATGGGTTGCGATGGTTGCAATTGTTCTTCTACCACACAAATCATCATGGAGCTTTGTCTGCAAAACATTTGAGTAGTTACCCATTACTAACTAGTGGCAGGAAGCAAACATAAACATAGCATTTTGGGTGTTTGGTTTTTACCTGAGCCATTAGGAAGCGTTTCAGAGCATTCCCTGGCTTCAGACTCATTCCTCTGACCAGGCAGCACACCAGGTACGGTCGGACATCTTTGACCTCAGCGCTGACCTTAACTGTGAGCGCTGTGGGCGCCTCGGAGACATGGAGCACCCTCACCACCATTTTGTTCAGCTCCTCCACCTCGTCTTGTTCCTCTCTCACCTTTCCCTTCTTCTTCTTATGCTGCTGCTGCTTTTTCTTCTTGTCAGAGTCGCCTCCCTCTTCATCCCGTCTTCCTCTTCCTTTGCCTCTCAAGTACTCTAGGATGGACTTGGTCTGACAGCCATTGACCATCTTCTCCAGGCGCTTGTCGCTAAGCTTGTTGCCCTTGAAGTTGATCTCCTTTAACTTGGGGCAGTCGCTCAGATCCGAAGGAATCTCACTCAGCTTGTTGTTGGAGACATCCAGCACCTGTGAAGGCCGGGGTAAGAAAGACAAAACCGTATGCACGAGCTGAGTTTCACACCCTAGAAAAATAGCACATTTTGTCACATTACAGCTGTAAACTTCAAAATTTTATATGGAGATTTTATGTAATAGACTACGGATGAAAGTTCTTGATTAATGACTTAGTCTAAAATTGATTGCTCTTATTGACCAACTAACAATTAATAAAGGGCCATTTTCTTAAAAACCTGACTTTTCTCTTGCATTAAAAGTTGCTAGTAGTTGGGAACTAATTTTAATCTGATAAAACATTCATTCAACAGTTAATCGTAATTCGATTGTTTACATCTGTATAATTGACCAATACAAAGTTGTGCATTATTGTGAGATACAAGGAAAATGATAAACGGTTTTTCATGTTTTTGGTAAAGAAAACCGTGAAAAGTGTGGGGTACATGTGTGTTCAGGACTAAAGATTGCAGAACCAGTTTTGCAGGGTATGTCTCTAGCTTTTCACATCAGGAGACTGGGATTTTTGCACAACCTTCATTACAAAAATACCTCAAGCTTAGTCCTAGATATTTTCAGGATTTTTTTCCCTAAGGCTAGGCACAGATTCTCAGTTGAATTTAAGTCTGAACTTTGACTTGAGGGGCACTTACTAGTGTTTCGTGATGGATTGCACAGTGCTTTGTGAGATCTCACCTTTAGAGCTGACAGCTTGCAAATCTCTCCACTCAGCTCCTGGATTGAGTTATCAGAGGCAACCAGGGTGCTGAGCAGGTCCAGCCGCTCAGAGAAGAGATCAGGAGGGAAAGTAGTGATTTGGTTCTTGGAAACATTGATGGTCGCCAGCTTGGTGCACTGACTCAGGCCATCTGGAAGACCCTCTAAGCAGTTGCAGCTCACATTAAGAGTATTCAGTTCCTTTAACTGAGTGAGCCCCTGTGGCAAGCATTTAAGGTTGTTGACGGACAGATCCAGGACCTTTAGCGACTTCAAAATGCCGATGACATCTGGGACAGAGGCCAGCTTGTTCCTGCACAGGACGAGGCTTTGGAGGTTGGTCAGATGTTGGATTTCAACGTGGATCTCTGTCAAACTCGGACACTGGCTGACTTCAAGATAATTCAGCAGCTGCAGGGAATAAAGAGAGGAGGGAAGCCCCCCGCAGGAAGAAATCCTCTTATCAACACCACCGCCCTGTAAAACCAGCTCACGTCTCTGCTCTGTCGCTGCTTTCTCTATTTCGGGCCACTTTTCCATGTTAGTCATGCTGCCGAAGAGAAATGAAAGGAGTCAGACTGAGCTCTTCTTCTTTTGAGAGCTGTTGGGAAGCTCACACGCAGCTTGAGTAGCTTTACTGCCACCTACTGGACTGAAAGGTG